CTGTGAGAAAAAATTCAATTTGAATTGGAGCTGGAAGAAAAAGATATCAGTTAAATATGTAAAAGTCAAATGAACTGATTGGATCAGAAATTTTATCCGGTCGATGTGGGTGCTATTCGCGTCATGGGCCTATTGCATCCCTAACAATACCATATTGTACTTATTTTCACATTTATATTCAAATGTGTGGTTTGAGGTAGTCGAAGTCGTTGGACAACGCATATACTATCAAATTTTAAGCGAAAGTTTTGTAGTTTTAAACCAACATCCAACACAGCTCCACATTTCCCTACAAACATACATTGGTTGCATACCTACATAAACACATGCTCATTCATTTTAATTGCGTAATTTATATAATTAAAAAAAGTACATCTCCTTGGATCACCCGTTATTATTTTAAAAATTATTTTCATTATATGGAAGAAATATTTGCAATTTTTTACAAGGAAATCTGGAAAAGAGTTAAGTTCTGGTTAAGAAAAAACTTAATTTTGAGGAATATTCGAAAGCTTATTCAAAATACTTTTTTAATTTCAAAGTCAAATTACTGGAAAGCTACTAGCTAGCATAACGAGAAAAAATGGTAAATGAAATAACAAAAACTAAATGTACAGTTACAGCACCTAAAATATATACTATATTTTAGCAGCGGTGCTTTTTTCTTCAAGCGAACACACGCACCTGCACATGCAAACGAGATCGCTTAAAACACGGGTCATCAAAATGGCAGCTGGTGAACATATTCCATTAAAATCATAGATCCCTTAATGGAAATATCAGAAAATAAAGTAAAAGAGAACAAAGCTGAACTCCCACACACATACATCAAAACTGGGAAAATTGTTCACTAGAATTTTATTATCTAAATATTTATTGTGATACGTGAGCTATGCCTGTATCGGCTCCAACAGTAATATACGGTGTTTCTGGTCATTTTTGCGAATCTATTAACATTTCCTGAGGCAGTGAATCGGCTTTTGCATAATTTTTGGCCTCAATCAGCAAATTTGAATGCGCATATTTAATTTTAATTAATTTTGACATAGTTTTGACCTCCAACATTGTATCGCCAATTAATGAATATATTTAGATATAGACATACCCACGGCAAGTGGAAGAATACAAATATATCCTTTCGCCAACCTTGTTTGAAATTCCAAGCAGTTTGGCTATATTTCTCTTATTTGTACTTTTTCTTCGTGCAAGCGACTGAAGTATCCTCAATCACATTTTAACTAGCGGCATTGCTACAAATATGAAAAATTTTTGTTTGTCTGTGCAGATTTGTTTTTGCGGTAAAGTGAAGGCGTGCAAATATTTTTCTCTACCTTTGAAACTCTGTAGTGGTTGGCCAGTTCCTCCACACACCTAGATCAAGCACAAAGCGTTTTATTATTTTATTTTGACGTCCTCGCTTCATTTGCCACAACTAAATTTGATTAGTGCTGTGTTTGGATGTAGCAAATTGCAGCGATCAGAACAACGAATGAATTGTTAGAGTAATGGTGAGTATGTAACCAAATGTTATGACTCTATGTATCCTCTAAATTTTGTTTTTTTCAAACATTTGACTATACTAGTATGAAAAACCGAAATATATATACGAAAATGTGTAGTATATTTTTGTTTTAACTACTATTGACCACCTCAAAAGGGTGATAGCTGATGAGACATTTTTTGGAATGTTGATCATATATTCAAAAAGAATTTGCAAAGAATAGGTATCTCTAGAGTTATATTGAATGATTTGAAATCATTGCAGACCCTTGGCCCCTACATTCCTCCTCTGCAATGAAATGCAACAATTCATCATACGAAGCGTTTGACTAATTCTGGAAATAGTGAAAACCCCGGGAGTATTCTGCATTCATTTATGCAAAAGCTCAGTTGATTGTACTCAGACCAGATTAGAATATTCGGAATTTGTGAGTATTATGAGTATTTATTATGACTGATTGACGGTGTAAAAAACTATGTATAAACGTTTTGGACAATGCACTCACGAAATGGGAAAGGAAAATAAGGACATAAGAAAGCAATAATTTTAAAAGGGANGTATTATGAGTATTTATTATGACTGATTGACGGTGTAAAAAACTATGTATAAACGTTTTGGACAATGCATTCACGAAATGGGAAAAGAAAATAAGGACATAAGAAAGCAATAATTTTAAAAGGGAGACCGAAGGAAGTAATCTTGTCTAAGAACCCACAGTGAAATCAATTGAAGCGGGGAAAGTATTAGTAAATAAATAAAAGGAAGAGTAATTGCTGCAATTTTAGCGCCCTTTACCCTCCTAGACATATACATACATATGATTTAACATAGCGAAGCGTTAGTGTAAAAAGTTCGAGTCCTGAATACTGTAACAAGCGGTGCTAAGAATACCATATAAATCCATTTCATTATGCAAAAATTGCCCTAGTCTCTCACCGAAGTTGCTTATTCAACGAGTGTCCAGGCACAACTGCCTTAAACTGAGTCTTACAACCAACGCATTGCAAGACTCAAACATTATTACATGTTGAAGTGATTTCCAAAGTAGTTGGGAATTTACGTAAACTACAAGTATCTATGTTGTGCCGGTCATAATCCGCATTTAGTCCCTTTTCTTGCCTTTTTTTATCTTTGCCTGCTGTTGCCTACCTTCCCTTGGTCAGTTTTCATCGGGCGCCTTCTGATGAAGCTCTGCATTTATCTCATGCGGGTATCCAAAAGTCTTATGTGAGGACATCATTCGTGACATTAAATCAGCAGTGTAAACACCGCTGGGGGTCGACGGCTGTTTGGTGTTGCATCATCTATGAATAATTTAGGCCTTAAGATTATAGCTATGCAATCAAGTGCGCTGATACTGCGTTCTTTCCTATTTCAATTGCACTCTTTTACACTGAATAAGCAATGCGGGCTTTTGATTGCATTCCATTAATTCAGAAAAATTTTAAGGCGCTTATGTGGCATAATGAGTGTTGACCCTTTTGCGTTTGCCTATAATTCGCCTATTTTGTACAAGATAAATTGAAAAGAATTTTTGTCTGCAATTCAGCTATGAAGTTTGGTATTATACATACATATTTCTTACTATAGCTGTAAGAGTTTGAAGTACGACATTATCCAATAAAGCAGGGATATTCTTTTTTATGTAGTGCATCTTCTACAAGAAGGTCAGGAAATTTTTTTCTGAATTATCAATTCGCTGTATTTTGAAAACAGAAAGATATGAAATTGTTGTCATATTTCACTAAAAATCTGATTCAATAAATTTATTTTAATGTCTAACTTTTTATGTCTGTCTTCTGGATGAGTGAGGTTTGCACCCTTTCTAAGCGACAGTAGTTGAGTTTTGGCGCAAATAACATAACACTGTATTAAACTCTTCACCTTTCCATTTTCTGAGTATAGCTGAGACATACACATATTCTGGCTACTGAAACGAATCACTGCGTGCAATCAGTTTCCTGTTGCTAGAACGCCTATTGCCACAAATCCAGTTGTACTTGCTTGCTGAATTGTTGCTGAGATCAACACTATGCTAAGCAGTCAGAATTCATTTTCGCTCATTGGTAATCACACACAGCGATAAAATGTTGGCCTGTCACATACACTGTGTGGAACTGATTTGGGTACACAGGTAAGCCTAAGGTCAATTCCTTTACGATTATCTGTACACAGAGGCATTAATGCCACTGCGTATACGCAACATGAAAATTTGCATTTCCATTTGAGTTTAAGGTGTAAACTAGTTTATTTTCAAATTCACTTGTTTGCAGAGGGATAATAAAGCTTTATGTTCGCATATATCAAAGATTATTTTTAATTAAAATGCTTTGCTCTACAAGGGAATGCAAAAGTGCGGATAACAGCGACATACGCTGGGGCAACAACTGCAGTAGCAACTGCAATTCTCGTCTGGAAGCAGTAAATTACTTTATTACATGCATTCATTTTATTACAGTGATGAACAATTTTCCTCAACGCTCATAAATTTACGCACTCTACACACCAGCAGGCAAACCGGCGGAGCATATGACCAAGAGGGAGCAACATAAGCAATTATGACCAACCTGAATCGGTTTGGTAGATTAAAACCCAATACAGTGCTATTTAACTGCTGAGTCAAAAAGGAAGTAGTGTTATTGGAAATGTAGAGATAGTTATGGCAATTGTGGTTCGACTTCTTCTTCGACTTCTTGCTGAAGTGAGCAATGGTAACATAAAGTTGTGGTTCATTAATGGTTTCCTTAATTATCTAGAATCTTTAATGATATGATACTTGACAACTTTAACCATTTATACTTACCTGTAATTAATTTTTGAATAGTCTTAATTGATAAGTTTTAAGCATACACCTCGATTTTGGAAAAAGACTTCGAAAGCTGAAGAAGAGCAGGTAATGGAGTAAACCGATAGCTCAATCTATTTAAATAGAGTAGGATTGTTCACTGCCTAGCTGACTATTGTAAAGTACAGTGAAGTCTTTTTCTTATCTATTGTTAAGTATTTTAATGACAATAATTAAGTGCACACACGCATATACATATATTTATACATTATTTGATGCAGTCTTCTGAAAGGTGAAAACTAATATGAACTAAACGCGGCTACCAAACTGATCGGTACAATAAAGCTACTGACGAAAAAGGAAAAACGGAAGTGAATTAGTTGCTAACGATATAACTGATTTCTGGAATTGTTCCGAAAATCAAAAAATATTGAAAAACTGATACAAGAAGTTTAAAACATTTTAACTCCAAGCTGCTCTACTCACTCATTAGTTTAGCAGAGGTTAGAATTTTAATCAAGGTGCTG